TGGTGTTTATACTTGTGTACTATGTTTTGTACAGATGAACGTGGTACCTTCAGGCATTTGGAAATTGGTCCCAAGGATGAACCGGACTTGTGGAGGTCTACAATTGATTTTTCTGAGGTCTTGGCTGATTTCTTTTGATTTTCCCATGATGTCAAGCAAAGAGACACTAAGTAATACATCCACAGGTACACCTTCAATTGACTCAAATGATGTCAATTAGCCTATCAGAAGCTTCTAAAGCCATTACATAATTTTCTGGAATTTTCCAAGCTGTTTAAAGGAACAGTCAACTTAGTGTATGTAAACTTCTGACCCACTCGAATTGTGATTATAAATGAAATAATCTGTCTGTAAACAATTGTTGGAAAAATTACTAGTGTCATGCACAAAGTAGATGTCCTAACCGACTTGCCAAAACTATAGTTTGTTAACAAGAAATTTGTGGAGTTGTTGAAAAATGAGAGAATAAGTTAGGCTGTTTGAGAAGGTTTGAGTCCTAATCAACCTGCCTACACATTGTTTGAAGTACAATGTACCAACATAGCTACTGTAGTAGGTCAAAGCTGTGTGCTGGAAAACCTTGGTAGAACATGGGTGAAGTCGGGATTGTGGTGCTATTGAATTTCCTTTCTTTTTCAGCTTCAGACCAATCCCAGCTAGCACATTTGGTTCCTTGGACGTTGTGGGAACATATGTTTTTGGTTTTCCATTTGTTCTGTGAACGGAGCCATACGTTTCCTGAAAGTGTTTGGCTAAACGTTTTTTTAATGGAAGTGAAAATTTCACCGGTTCTGGAAACTTACATTTTTAGGCTGTAGGGAGGGTCTGAGAACACTTTACTTTGGTTGCTCAAAGGTTTTCCTGGGAGGTTTTATTAACAATCTGAGAACGGAAATTATAGGTTATTTTGAGGTTTTTTAATAACTTCCTTAAAGCTTTTCACTGAATGTTTCAATAAGACTTTTAATAACACTGCTAGCTTAGGTTAACTGTTTTGAACTCCAAGCGCAAATAGAACAAATGGAAATTAATTTGCTTAGGCATTAATCATGCAAACACATATTTTTTGTTTTTTTTTGTGGCGCAGTGAGATTCAAACCTATGATATTCTGTTCTCTATTCATGGAATTAGTCCACCCAGGATGGAGCTAGCATGCCATATTTTTTTTATATTCAAACAGACCCCATTTCAAAGGAAACAAGCAGTCATTAATGAGCGCAGCCAACACACCTGAACACACTTAACAAGATCGAGAATAGAGAGAGTTTGGTTGATGCTAGGAACTAAATGTATATGTTTTTAAATAAAATTCTTAGAACGTTCTTTGAACGTTACTAAAGTTTTCTTGTTTTTTATGGAAAGTTGTCTTAATGTTCTGAGAACATGAGTTTAAATAGAATCATGTGGAACCTGCAGAAAACGTTATGCTGAAGTACTGACATTTCCACAGAAGAAAGTTGCTTCTTAACGATCTCTGAACATTCTGAAAACATGACTATAAATAGTGGAAACCTGTAGGAAACATTATGCTGAAGTACTGAAATTCCCACCTTAGAAACATCTGTTTCTTAGAACATGTGCTAGCTGGGTATCCTGCACCATTCCCAAAATGTTGTGGGATTTTGTATGCAAAATAACCATAGGACAATCACGCTCTCACCAAGTTCTAAGAAACATATGGTTCTCAGAACTTTATGTGCTATTTGCTATGCCTACTTCTTAAAACATCGTTTTTGTGTTTCATTGTAATAATGGCTTGGCTCTCTCCAGTCTAGTTTGTGAAAAGGTTTGCTGCTCCTTTCCTTTATCCTTTCTGACAATCCATCCTTATGGACATTTGGAAGTGGATGGAAACATTCAGAGAGTGTGTGAGTGTGTTTGTGACGTTATGTGTGTGTGTGTGTGTGTGTGTGTGTGTGTGTTCATGTGTGTGTGTGTGCATTTGTGCGTGCGTGTCAAGAAGGGCCATGGTGTTCTCTGTGGACATTGTGCCCCCGTTTACAGCACGCATTAATCTGACCTACCACCTGAGAGAGCACCTTACCCTCCCTGGGTGCAGGACAAAACCAGGGGCTGGGGCCAACACAAAGACCTTGGACAAAGGCCTTGGACACCCTCCCAGGAAATATCATATCTCCCTCACGCCTCACTGGTCACCAAGAACGCTTTGTCCAACACGGAAACTTAAACACAGCAACGACGGGCGCTGGGTGGCACACGTTTTCGAACTAAGCCCCTGGTCTCTCCTGAGAGTCATGTGATGAGGTCACAGCCAATGGGAGAGTGAGAGAGGAGTGAGATCACCCCAGTAGTGAGGCACCCCTAGTACCAGGCAATTGTTTGCAGACAGAAGTGGGCATGCTGCCACGTGATACGTGACACCATTGTCTGGCCTTAGTAGTTTATATAAAAGGAACTGAGGTGGGGTAAGCAGGGCCCACAGTCCAACATGGCTTCCCCTTTAACTGCAGGAACTAATAGTTTCATCAACATAAAGTATTGTAACACGACCCTATAATCTGCAACAACGCCGTTCCGACAGGGCGTTTCGCATTTCAGTAATCTGCTGAATCATTTCTTTGCACTTGCATATTCCACACACCGACCTCTGTCTGTGTGTGTGTCTCTGTGTGTGTGTGAGTGTGTGTGTGTGTGTGTATGTGCGCACTTTCGTGTGTGCATGTGTATCTGTTTTGAGGGGAAATGCTAAATTGCTTTGTTTCAAAACTGTGAGTTGCCACTGGTATGTTTATAAATGTTGATGGTGCTCTAGTAGCAGCCTAAGCACAGAGCTCCTGTAAATGTACACATATTTAGTAATTGTTTTGGTGTTATTAATTGTTGATTTTTAATCAACTCTTTTGTTTATGATAACATTGAGTTTTTATTGCATATATCTGCCCTTACAAAAATGAATTTGTTGCTGCAAACATCCCGCAAGTTTGTGGCAAATTTGCTGCAAACTAAATAGTGTGCCACAAAATATTGCCAGAAGTTTGCAAACGTTTGCCACTAGTGGTGGGCAAACCTTTGGCAACAATAATATTTATTGCCACTAGTGGCAAACAGTTCACCAGAGTTTTTCTTTCTGGCAGACAATTCTCTCAAGATTCTATTTGAATCTGTGGCAAACCTGTGGCAGCAACAATTATTGCCACTAGTGTCAAACAGTTTACCAGAAGCTATTTCTGGTGAACACGAGTTCCAAGACCAGTAACCTTTGATGATCAATCAAGGGGTGTCACGCCCTGACCTTAGAGATCCCTTTTATTCTCTATTTGGTTAGGTCAGGGTGTGATTTGGGTAGGCATTCTAGTTTGTCTATTTCTTTGTTGGCTGGGTATGGTTCCCAATCAGAGGCAGCTGTCTATCGTTGTCTCTGATTGGGGATCATACTTAGGCAGCCGTTTTCTCACCTTAGTTTGTGGGATCTTGGTTTTGTGTAGTGGCGGTGTAGCCTGCAGTACTTTACGTTTGTGTGTATTTTGTTGGTGTTCATTGAATGAATGAATGAATGAATGAATGAATGAATGAATGAATGAATGAATGAATGAATGAATGAATGAATGAATGAATGAATGAATGAATGAATGAATGAATATGTTCGCCTACCACGCTGCACCTTGGTCCGATCCGTCAATCCACGAGCATCACAAGGGGATTAGAAACATCTGTTGGAAAATGGAAACCAAGATATCTAGCTAGTTACAGTACCTACCAAAGTTATCCAGTGAGTGTCTAACTTATTAATTAAACTTCCTAAAAAACTAAATTGTATTAACTAAATGATGCCTAGTTAGCAATGTCATGTTTTATGGGATACATTTTTTGTTGATACCAGTTTCAATTTGTCAGTGCCACTGACTGACTGGCTAGCACTTAGCTAATGTTAGTTATATATATATTTAACAATTAATGTGATAGCTAGCTAGCTAACTAACTAATGATTTGCCTAAACACATATTTTTAGGTGAATATATTGCTGTCTTTTAATTCCAATATGCATGTATATATTCTAGTGTCACGTTCAGTAGCATGTTAGCTAGCACAACAGCTAAGGAAGCTAGCTAGCTAGCAACAATATGAGTTGATTTGATATCTAAGCAAACCTAACTTATACAGATGGATAGGAGGATGCATCAACACCCTGGAAATATGTTTGTGGTGCACTCACTCATAACTCTTTTTTGAGTGATACATTTGTGTATCGTCTTCAAAATTGACAAGGTAAGTAAATGCATTTATTGTTCTCATAAATGTAGCCCATGCATTCATTCTTTGTAACAATTAGTAGTAGCTCATCTTGATAATGTGTTGTTCCTTTTCTCTTTCTAGAAGCAATCAGTTACAAGGCAAAAATGCAGATTGAGTTATTCAATCAAACTGAAGACACAGAAATATGTGTGCACCAGAAAGGTCAAGGCTTCTTGCATGCATGGCTAGAAAATGTTGGGTGGTTTGGATGACCCAATTGCTGGGTTGCAGGCATTGGGTCAATAGTTGGGTTGTTTTCTGTAAATACAGCAAGGTTGGGTTGTTGATACTGGGTTATTAAGGTTGGGCTATGGCTATTTGCCCCAGCCAGTGGGTTATTTCTCCCGCCACCAGCACGTGAAGTCCACCAGATTACTTGCAACTATTCTAGTTCTAGTGCGACTGACTGACGAGTGGAAAACAGCTAACGTTATTTCGACAGACTAAGGATGTTTAGGCTGACTGAAAACGGTAAGTAACAAATGTTATGAATTTGATGGTCATTCAGGTTAAATAGGTTGTCCTATCATAATTAGTTAGCTAGCCAACGTTAGCTTGAGCGTTAGCCATTGTCAGCATTAGCCATTGGCAGCTTTAGTCAGACTTGTGAAGTTGAGGAGGACCGATGTAAATTCTGTTAGCTAGCTAACTTTAGAGTTTACCTTAAATTTGATGTAGCCAGGTTAGTTTAGCTAGATAGCTATGTTGCTACCATTTCTGTACTTAAATGCAGAGGTCAAGGCCAATGAATGGAAAGCTTTGTAAAGATACACTGAATGAGTGGAACCTGGCCTCTTTGATTCTAAAGTTTGAGGGTAAGTAAAACTGACAAATTCCTTTTTGAGAGTGAGGAGCTTTTGGGGGAAAAAAACACAGATTTTAATTGACCCTGTGTAAAACAGCATCTACGTCTTCCACATTGTCATCGGTAACCAATAGTACAATCTTAATGGAAACTTGAAAGACTTAACTTCACCAGAGCCTCTTAGAACCATGCAACCACTTTGGGACTAAATACATTACATGCTGCCATAGATAGTGACCAACTTGACACATAACACACATCACAGGCTGGGAGCAGCTCATGGGCACTTAGGGGTAAAGTGTCTTGCTCAAGGGCACAACAGCAGTAGGTAGTATACAGCAATATTGTAGCTGGTAACCCTCTGGCTGACGGATAACTCCTTGCAGATTTCCCCGCAGGCAGCCCGCGGCTTCAAATATCGGCCTGCCTTTCTAACCTCGAAGCTACTGCCGCCCCTATTAATTTTGCTCTTTCCTCACTCACTTGCCTTTGTTCAACCATTTCACCTGGCTTATCAACCCTTCCCTCAAAGTATTAAATTTAGAAATGTGGGTGAAACTATCCCTTAAAATCTCCCCACTAGCGGTTAAGCCTAGCGGTTAAGAACGTTAGGCCAGTAACTGATAGGTCGCTGGTTTGAATTCCCGAGCCAGCAAGGTGGAATAATCTGCCGTTCTGCCCTTGAGCAAGGGACTAACCCCCAACAACCACTGCTCCCCGGGTGCCGAAGACGTGGATGTGGATTTAAGGCAGTCCCCCGCACCTTTCTGATTCAGAGGGGTTGGGTTTAATGGATTCAGTTGTGCAACTGATTAGGTACCCCCTTTCCCTTTTAGCCTCTCTTTTGCAGCAGAAGAGATGGACCAGGAAACACTCTTGCTTTTGGATGACTTGTGGTGGAAATTCTAATCAAGTGAGAGAGACTTTGTAATTTCTTCAAACAATCATCTTAATTTATATACAGTTGAAGATGGAAGTTTACATACACTTAGGTTGGAGTCATTAAAACTCATTTTTCAACCACTCCACAAATTTCTTGTTAACAAACTATAGTTTTGGCAAGTCGGCTAGGAGATCTACTTTGTGCATGACACAAGTAATTTTTCCAACAATTGTTTACAGACAGATTATTTCACTTATAATTCACTGTATCAGAATTCCAGTGGGTCAGACGTTTACATACACTAAGTTGACTGTGCCTTTTTTAAACAGCTTGGAAAATCCCAGAAAATGATGTCATGGCTTTAGAAGCTTCTGATAGGCTAATTGACATCATTTGAGTCAATTGGAGGTGTACCTGTGGATGTATTTCAAGGCCTACCTTCAAACTCAGTGCCCTTTGCTTGACATCATGGGAAAATCTAAAGAAATCAGCAAAGACCTCAGAAAACAAATTGTAGACGTTCCACAAGTCTGGTACATCCTTGGGAGCAATTTCCAAATGCCTGAAGGTACCACGTTCATCTGTACAAACAATAGTACGCAAGTATAAACACCATGGGAACACGCAGCTGTCATACCGCTCAGGAAGGAGACACATTCTGTGTCCTAGAGATGAACGTGTTTTGGTGCGAAAAGTGCAAATCCAATCCCAGAACAACAGCAAAGTACCTTGTGAAGATGCTGGAGGAAACAGGTACAAAAGTATCTATATCCACAGTAAAACAAGTCCTATATCGACATAACTTGAAAGGCCGCTCAGCAAGGAAGAAGCCACTGCTCCAAAACCAGACTACGGTTTCCAACTGCACATGGGGACAAAGATCGTACTTTTTGGAGAAATGTCCTTAATCATCTGATTAAACAAAAATAGAACTGTTTGGCAATAATGACCATCGTTATGTTTGGAGGAAAAAGGGGGTTCTTGCAAGCCGAAGAACACCATCCCAACCGTGAAGCACGGGGGTGGCAGCATCATGCTGTGGGGGTGCTTTGCTGCAGAAGGGACTGGTGCACTTCACAAAATAGATGGCATCATGAGGAAGGAAAATTGTGGATATATTGAAGCAACATCTCAAGACATCAGTCAGGAAGTTAAAGCTTGGTCGCAAATGGGTCTTCCAAATGGACAATGACCCCAAGCATACTTCCAAAGTTGTGGCAAAATGGCTTAAGGACAACAAAGTCAAGGTATTGCAGTGGCCATCACAAAGCCCTGACCTCAACCCTATAGAAAATGTTTGGGCAGATCTGAAAAAGCATGTGCGAACATAGAGGCTTACAAACCTGACTCAGTTCCACCAGCTCTGTCAGGAGGAATGGGCCAAAATTCACCCAACTTATTGTGGGAAGCTTGTGGAAGGCAACCCGAAATGTTTGACCCAAGTTAAACAATTTAAAGGCAATGCTACCAAATACTAATTGAGTGTATGTAAACTTCTGACCCACTGGGAATGTGATGAAATAAATGCTGAAATAAATCATTCTCTCTACAATTATTCTGACATTTCACATTCTTAAAATAAAGTAGTGATCCTAACTGACCTAAGACAGGGAATTTTTTTTAGGATTATATGTCAGGAATTGTGAAAAACTGAGTTTAAATGTATTTGGCTAAGGTGTATGTAAACTTCCGACTTCAACTGTATATATTACTGTATATAAACCCCTATTGGTTTATGCAGACCCGCTAACCATTATTATTATTATGGAGGCTATAACTATACAGTGCGTTCAGATAGTACTCAGACCCCTTGACTCTTTCCACATTTTGTTATGTTACAGCCTTATTCTTAAATGTATAACATAAAAAAAATGTCATCAATCTACACACAATACCCATAATGACAAAGCGAAAACAGGTTTTTATAATTTTTTGCAAATGTATAAAACATTTAAAACAGAAATGCCTTATTTACATAAGTATTCAGACCCTTTGCTATGAGACTCGAAATTGAGCTCAGGTGCATCCTGTTTCCATTGATCATCCTTGAGCTGTTTCTACAACTTGATTGGAATCCACCTGTGGTCAATTCAATTGATTGGACATGATTTGGAAAGGCACACACCTGTCAGGTCCCACAGTCGACAGTGCACGTCAGAGCAAAAACCAAGCCATGAAGTCGAAGGAATTGTCCGTAGAGCTCCGAGACAGGATTGTGTCAAGGCACAGATCTGGGGAAGTGTACCAAAAAATGTCTGCAGCATTGACGTTCACCAAGAACACAGTGGCCTCAATCATTCTTAAATGGAAAAAGTTTGGAACCACCAAGACTCTTCCTAGAGCTGGCCGCCCGGCCAAACTGAGCAATCGGGGAAGAAGGGCCTTGGTCAGGGAGGTGACAAAGAACCCGATTGTCTGATAGTACTCACAAATGTCGATGAGTTAAAGCAGTTCTTCATGCAAGAGTGGGTGTTATGGAGTGTAAGGGGGCAATTACTTTTTCACACAGGGGAATTGGGTGTTACATAACTTTAATTAGATGAATAAATATATATTCAGGTTCCCTTTATCTAATATTAGGTTTTGGTTGAAGATCTGATAACATTCACTGTCACAAATATGCAAAAAGAGAGAAAATAAGAAATGGGTTAAATACATGTAAGGGGTTAAAAAAAATATTTAAAAAAAAGTCAGGATCTTTCTTATGTCTCAGATATAGGACTGACACTTCAGAACAAACTTCCTTGAGATTTTTTGGGGACAATCTGTTCCATGTAGTGAATCTCTTATTAAATGCGTATGTATGGAATAATAGCAGTAAGGTCATCAAATAGTTTTTGTGTCGTAATTTTTTTAATACTTTTTTTAAATAGTTCAAGGAGTCTTAAAATTCTAAATCAAATAGCAAAATTATCCTTGGTATGACCTTAAAACAATTCCATATAGCTTAGTAGAACACCCCCCCTCCCCCCTCCCTTGACTGGCACTACTTTGATGTCAGCGTGGTGGCAGCAGAATCACGCCCCGGATGCCCGGGGCAGGCACGGGGGTGGGGGGGGTGGATGGGGGGCGACACACGTCCTGCAGGAACCAATATGTCTCTCCTACTCCAAACAAAAGGAACCGGTTTAGGGCTTCCCCCATGTTTGCCAGTGGCATACCACGATAGGGAAAGGGGGTCCTCCTAGGTCCCCGGCACGCCTGGGGCAGCTGGGCTGGTCCGTCTGGGGGACGAGAAGGACTCATGCTCTGGGCCAGGGCGGGGCGGGACTCTCTCTCTGGGCTTAATTGGCACAGTGCTCTCAGCAGGTGACTATTGTTGAGGTAAAAGAAGATTAGCAGCACGTCGCTAACTAACGGAGTAGGCCCTAGCCACAGCACTGATAGGTAACAGCCAGATACGGAGAGTCACTGTGGAAGGAGGTTAATAATCATATATGGTCTGAGCAGGAGGAGTGGGGGGTTAACACTAAATGGAGTTAAGGAGGGGCCAGGTGGAAGTTAAGAGGCCCCCCGTGAAGAAGTCAAGCGTGCCAGGCTGTGACTTTAGACACTCTCCACAGGTGCTCTGGAGAGCACGTGGCGAACATTGTTTGACTATTATTGTAGGCAACCCTGTTTATATTGGGGTAAATTAGTAAATAGTATGATGACACACACAACATCTACGGAGTAGGTTGCTGATTTGCATAATATGTGCCAAAGCAGTCAATGGTTTACTTTGATGGTTCTTGAAAAATCAGGTGCTTCAAATGTACTAAGCCCATACAGTGAGGGGAAAAAAGTATTTGATCCCCTGCTGATTTTGTACGTTTGTCCACTGACAAAGAAATGATCAGTCTGTAATTTTAATGGTAGGTTTATTTGAACAGTTAGAGACAGAATAACAACAAAAAAATCCAGAAAAACGCATGTCAAAAATGTTATAAATTGATTTGCATTTTAATGGGGGAAATAAGTATTTGACCCCTCTGCAAAACATGACTTAGTACTTGGTGGCAAAACCCTTGTTAGCAATCACAGAGGTCAGACGTTTCTTGTAGTTGGCCACCAGGTTTGCACACTTCTCAGGAGGGATTTTGTTCCACTCCTTTTTGCAGATCTTCTCCAAGTCATTTAGGTTTCAAGGCTGACGTTTGGCAACTCGAACCTTCAGCTCCCTCCACTGATTTTCTATGGGATTAAGGTCTGGAGACTGGCTAAGCCACTCCAGGACCTTAATGTGCTTCTTCTTGAGCCACTCCTTTGTTGCCTTGGCCGTGTGTTTTGGGTCATTGTCATGCTGGAATACCCATCCACGACCCATTTTCAATGCCCTGGCTGAGGGAAGGAGGTTCTCACCCAAGATTTGACAGTACATGGTCCCGTCCATCGTCCCTTTGATGCGGTGAAGTTGTCCTGTCCCCTTAGCAGAAAAACACCCCCAAAGCATAATGTTTCCACCTCCATGTTTGACGGTGGGGATGGTGTTCTTGGGGTCATAGGTGCATTCCTCCTCCTCCAAACACGGTGAGATGAGTTGATACCAAAGAGCTCCATTTTGGTCTCATCTGACCACAACACTTTCACCCAGTTCTCTGAATCATTCAGATGTTCATTGGCAAACTTCAGACGGCCCTTTATATGTGCTTTTTTGAGCAGGGGGACCTTGCGGGAGCTGCAGGATTTCAGTCCTTCACGGCGCAGTGTGTTACCAATTGTTTTCTTGGTGACTATGGTCCCAGCTGCCTTGAGATCATTGACAAGATCCTCCCATGTAGTTCTGGGCTGATTCCTCACCGTTCTCATGATCATTGCAACTCCACGAGGTGAGATCTTGCATGGAGCCCCAGGCCGAGGGAGATTGACAGTTATTTTGTGTTTCTTCCATTTGCGAATAATCGCACCAACTGTTGTCACCTTCTCACCAAGCTGCTTGGCGATGGTCTTGTAGCCCATTCCAGCCTTGTGTAGGTCTACAATCTTGTCCCTGACATCCTTGGAGAGCTCTTTAGTCTTGGCCATGGTGGAGAGTTTGGAATCTGATTGATTGATTGCTTCTGTGGACAGGTGTCTTTTATACAGGTAACAAGCTGAGATTAGGAGCACTCCCTTTAAGAGTGTGCTCCTAATCTCAGCTCGTTACCTGTATAAAAGACACCTGGGAGCCAGAAATCTTTCTGATTCAGAGGGTGTCAATTACTTATTTCCCTCATGAAAATGCAAATCAATTTATAACATTTTTGACATGCGTTTTTCTGGATATTTTTGTTGTTATTCTGTCTGTCACTGTTCAAATAAACCTACCATTAAAATTAGAATGATCATTTCTTTGTCAGTGGGCAAACGTACAAAATTAGCAGGGGATCAAACTTTTTTCCCTCACTGTAGTTCACATATGTGTTAATGGTTTAGGTAGTGGTCAGTGCTGGTGATTTATAATATAAATATAATATGCCATTTAGCAGACTCTTTTATCCAAAGCGACTTACAGTCATGTGCGCATAAATGTTTTATGTATGGGTGGTCCCGGGGATCGAACCCACTACCCTGGCGTTACAAGTGCCATGCTCTACCAATTGAGTTACAGAGGACCACATTTAGACCTTGTTCAACTAAGGTGAAATCCTAACTTGAAATGCATGTTCTTAACTCCTAGTGGAGAACATCATACAGGTCCTTAGCCTGTGTTGTTAATCTAAACATAATTTAACACAGAATTTACCTTCAGTGGATTACTAATAATGGATTACTTCATCAATCACTCGTCTTTTACTGAAACTCAGGCTGGGATTCAATCTGATCCGCACTGTAGCGCAGGTCACTCTTTATACAGCCGACAATTCGGCTTTCAAAAGCGTTTCCCCCTACATTTGCAGATATTGCATTCATGGTAAACGCTGCATGTAGGCTCAACCGTAAATTACCTATAGAAGTGGAATGCTCTATAGTTCTGCTTGGATAGAATCCTGGCCTCAAATCTATAGTTTCTGGAGCCAACATGTTGACTCAGTGTGAGCCAGGCCCCATGCAGACAGGGAACAGTCCAAAAGGCCTGTTTACCACTTCACAACAGGTTGCAGGCAGCCAGAGTGGCCCGCTTGTTGCCCAACAAATCCATTGTCTGCAGCCCCCTGTCATTACAGCTCTCTGCAGGGGAAGTGCAGCAGAGAAAGGGCCGGCCGAGCTGACATCTGTGTCAGGGCCACGGGGTTAGACTCCCAGGTAGCCCACCTGTACAGCCTCATTACTGGCCCTAAACACGGAGCAATTAACTGGACAACTGGCTAAGAGGTGGGGGGGGGGGGTCCGAATGGATAGTATGGTAGTCGCCGTCTAGCCGAAGATGGTTGGAGGAGTGGAGGGGGGATAGAGGGAAAGGATATGGAGGCATAGACAGATGTAGAGAGAGAGCTGTGGAGATATGGATGGAGGGATAGACAGCTGTGAAGGGGTAAAGGAGTGAAGGGATGGATGGAGGCAGAGCTTGGTGAAGGGGGTATGGAGGGAGTTAAAAGACAGTTCACGCAAATTATACAATTAGTTATTGGTTTCCTTACAGTGTAAGCAGTCTATGGACAAGGTACAGTATGACAGCAATCCATGCTTTGGTTTTGTTTAACTGGCCACTGCAAATTCAATGCAAGTCAATGGTACCAATATCAGCAATTTTTGCACGTCATATCCAAATAATCCGAAAGTATCTCAAATTGATTGTATAGCTCTATGAAATTACTTATAGATGATTTGGACATAAAGCGCAAAAAAATATAATATCGGTAACATTGACTTGCAATGAATTTGTACCACAAATGCTAAAAAGGCAGCATTTGGTTTCAGTGGCCTTGTCCATAGACTGCTTACAGGGTAAGGAAATCAATATATTATTTTGTAATTTGGATTAACTTTAAGGGGATGGAGGGGCAGGGGAGGGGTGCTCTGGGAGTGTGGTGCCAGGAAAATAACCTCTCACTCAACGTTAACAAAACAAAGGAGATGATCGTGGACTTCAGGAAACAGCAGAGGGTGCACCCACCTATCCACATCGACGGGACTGCGTGGAGAAGGTGAAAAGCTTCAAGTTCCTTGGCATACACATCACTGACAAACTGAAATGGACCACCCACACAGACAGTGTGGTGAAGAAGGCGGAACAGAGCCTCTTCAACCTCAGGAGGCTGAAGAAATGTGGCTTTGCACCTAAAACCCCCACAAACTTTTACAGATGTACAATTGAGAGCATCCTGTCTGGCTGTATCACCGCCTGGTACGGCAACTGCACCGCCCGCAACCGCAAGGCTATCCAGAGGGTGGTGCGGTCTGCCCAACACATTACCGGGGGCAAACTACCCGCCCTCCAGGACATCTACAGAACCCGATGTCACAGGAAGGTCAAAAATATCATCAAGGACATCAACCACCCGAGCCACTGCCTGATCACCCTGCTATCATCCAGAAGGCGAGGTCAGTACAGGTGCATCAAAGCTGGGACCGAGAGACTGAAAAACTGATTCTATCTCAAGGCCATCAGACTGTTAAACAGCCATCACTAGCACATTAGAGGGTGCTGCCTATAGTCATAGACTAGAAATCACTGGCCACTTTAAGAAATGGAACACTAGCCATTTTAATAATATTTACATATCTTGCATTACTCATCTTATACACTACCGTTCAAAAGTTTGGGGTCACTTAGAAATGTCCTTGTTTTCGAAAGAAAAGCACTTTTTTTGTCCATTAAAATAACATAAAATTGATCAGAAATACAGTGTAGACATTGTTAATGTTGTAAATGGCTATTGTAGCTGGAAACGGTTGATTTTTTAAATGGAATATCTACATAGGTGTACAGAGGCCCATTATCAGCAACCATCAGTCCTGTGTTCCAATGGCACGTTGTGTTTGCTAATCCAAGTTGATAATTTTAAAAGGCTAATTGATCATTAGAAAACCCTTTTGCAATTATGTTAGCAAAGCTGAAAACTGTTGTGCTGATTAATGAAGCAATAAAACTGGCCTTCTTGAGACTAGTTGAGTATCTGGAGCATCAGCAATTGTGGGTTCGATTACAGGCTCAAAATGGCCAGAAACAAATAACTTTCTTCTGAAACTCGTCAGTCTATTCTTGTTCTGAGAAATGAAGGCTATTCCATGCGAGAAATTGCCAAGAAACTGAAGATCTTGTACAACGCTGTGTACTACTCCCTTCACAGAACAGCGCAAACTGTCTCTAATCAGAATAGAAAGAGGAGTGGGAGGCCCCGGTGCACAACTGAGCAAGAGGACAAATACATTAGAGTGTCTAGTTTGAGAAACAGACGCCTCACAGGTCCTCAACTGGCAGCTTCATTAAATAGTACCCGCAAAACACCAGTCTCAACAGTGAAGAGGCGACTCCGGGATGCTGACCTTCTAGGCAGAGTTGCAAAGAAAAAGCCATATCTCAGACTTGCCAATAAAAAAATAAAGATTAAGATGGGCAGTCTGAGATTTGGCTTTTTCTTATCAACTCTGCCTAGAAGCTGTTCAGGGTTCCCCTGCTCGCACACACACACACACACACACACACGTACCTACACACGCATTAATACATACAAAGACACACATACACAAACACGCACACACACTCACACAATCACTCCCTCACTCACACATAAGGGTGCCTTCAAACCAAAATGCATTAAACGCAGTGTTGTGGTGGGATGCAAAGAAAATGAAATTATTAGCTAGAAATGCTGTTCTACGTTAAACTTTTCTGATGGAAAAGGCATTGAGGGCAAAGTGTGGATTTGGATGAGAAGGGAGAATCTGCCAGGGATAAGGGACGGATTTGGGTATGAAAGACCAAAAAGGTCAAGAAAACCTGTAGCAACTTTTTGCATGTATTCATATCACACCCTTTGCTTATATATAGTGACCAAAACAGAAGATACATTTTTCTACAATACATAATTTCCACAGACATGTTGAAACAGACCATGTTGATAAAACATTTTTAGGAAACTACATCAGTTACTGTAAGAGCAGTTAAGCTACTTTATGTAGCTCATTCTTGAGTCCGAAAAGTAAGATAATAATGATCTAAAATGAAGCCGGCAGGAGGGCAGAGGGCGGTGGTGTCAAACCCCTGACAGACGGACACACAGAGTAGGAGGGAGAGAGGGGAAAACGGTCATTCATTTAACACAAAGGTGCAATGACAACACTTAGGCCTTTTACTGCTAGTGGTTTATCTTTTTTTTTTTTTTTTTTAGGTCATTTAGCTGACGCTCTTATCCAGAGCAACTTACATATTATCTGGCACTGGTATAGCGCAAAGTGTCACAAAAAATGTAGCAGAGCCTGTGGTCTTGCGGTAACTGTCCCCAGCTTCAAATACATATATTGCTCCACCAGAGGTTTCAATCATTCTCCCACTTTCCTGCCTGGGTACCAATAATATCTACTTTCTTCTGAAGTATGCACACAGTCACTACTTCACACAAACCTAAAAGCAATGGATTGGTGGAGGCATGGGCTAGTGTTCCCACCATTTTCTAACGTGGGTCACATGTTCAGAATATGTGTGTATGATGACAGTCTGTTGTTTTGGACAATGGCATCATAAATTACCATATTTGCAATGGTAGTACTAAGACTTTACATGAAAGGTTTCCAAACTCGGTTGCTTCAATGGGGATTCAGTCAGATTTCCACAAAGGTACGTTGGCACGCATAGAAATCCTTTGGCTATGTATAGTTTTACTTCAATGGCAAATGGGAGGGGGTGAGGATCTTAATCGGAGAGAGGGAAAAGTGGCAAGGAAGAGTGAAAGGAGAGAAGTTCTTATCCCTTTAATTGTCAGTTAGAGAGGATAGGAGTAAACACTAACACCCACGTCCCCCACCTCCTCCTCCTCCTTCGCCCCTCATACCTCCTCCTCGCCACCCCTGGAACAATTCACAAAGTCACTCTAAAACCCTGCAATTAAGACAGAAAGGACCAGCAAAACCCTTGGAGCCCACTTCTCCTGCCAAAGCTAAGCTTTGGCGAAACAAAAACAGGTTTTTGCTGCCTGCACGGCCCCTCCTCCCCCTCCTCCTCCTCCTCTGCAACACTGAAAACAAAACAAAACCACACAGAGGACCACACTTAAAGGGCATGTAGCAGCTATTTCTGAAGGCCGAAACGTATGTAATAGTAACTGAGAGTACCCCAAGAAAACATTCCCAAATGTAAAACTGAAATACATTTTAATAATACTGTAATTCTGTTCTAAAAGTCAGCTCTGACAAATCAGCTCTAACTTCGGAAACAATCCCACAGCGGCGGTCAGTGTCACACATTGAGGAAATAAATATCTGTGCTCACCCTTCATATACTTGTGAAAAAAAGCAAAAAACACTTAGGTTAGTAGTATGGAGCTAGCTAGCAATTGCATTTTTATTCATCAAGATGGCCAAGCTTTGTGTGGTAGCAGGGTGTAGCAACACTTGCTATGCAAATGTGAGCATGCCTCTATGGCCACGCAAATTAAACAGTTTGCGAAAAGTGGAATACATTTGTGAGAAGGAAGCAGGCAAATTTGGCATCTATTCGTCAATCTGCGGGGCACATTTCCTCCTTGAGAACTTCCATGGCTATCAACAATGGAAGGAGGGCTTCAACAAAACGTTTTTTCTTCCAAAGTGGATGGTGTCCCTACCAACAACGTGGCTGCAGCACCAGCAGAGACAGAGCACTATCAGGGCTTCACCTGGTAAGTGAAAGAGCTAGCTTACTACCTCTATGCTTAAGTTAGCTAGCTATAGAGCTACCGCATTTAGCTCACGTCTTCCATCTAAATAACACTGATTAATGTTAAAGTAACATGTCTGCAAGCTGTTGGTAGCTAACGGCTGGTGCTGTCATACTACAGATAGTACAAGCCTATGGGAAAAGAGCAGTTTTGGTCGAGATGGAGGTCAATGTTTCTGTATAGAGCCCTGTGGCTGGGGCTGAAACTGTGTGTGTGTCTATGTGTGTGGATGGCAGGCTAAACCGAAATGCGATGCTTTGGCCATGTATTCAATCGTGGATCTGGTGGCATTTTGGCCAAAGAACACAGGTTTTCTTTAGAGGGATGGATTTTGCTCAATGGGAAAGTTTATTTCTGGAGTTTAACGCATGAGTTGTATTTTGGGAGCTGCTGGCTGTCTGCACTTGGGCTCTCTGTGTGTGTGGATGGCTCGTTGGATGGTGTCTGTGGTGCCGGGGAAGTTTTCTACAGAGCCTTCTTGCGGGCTAAAATTAAATGCGACGCTTTGGTCATGGAATTGATCGCGGATCTGGGGTCATTTTGGAGAAGTCCCAGAGACAGGCTTTCTTTAGAGGGGTGGATTGTGGATTATGTTCAATGGCAACGTTTATTTTTTTTTATCTAAGGATCAATGTTATCACAGTTGCTTCTTTTTGAAGAGGCATCAGCTAACATTAGCTTGCTATAGCTAGCTATCCTCTATCTCCATTTCTGAATGAATTTGTGTCAGTTTGTGTACTGCCATACAGTGGGGGAAAAAAGTATTTATTCAGCCACCAATTGTGCAAGTTCTCCCACTTAAAAAGATGAGAGAGGCCTGTAATTTTCATCATAGGTACACGTCAACTATGACAGACAAAATGAGAAAAATAAATCCAGAAAATCACATTGTAGGATTTTTAATGAATTTATTTGCAAATTATGGTGGAAAATAAGTATTTGGTCAATAACAAAAGTTTCTCAATACTTTGTTATATACCCTTTGTTGGCAATGACATAGGTCAAACGTTTTCTGTAAGTCTTCACAAGGTTTTCACACACTGTTGCTGGTATTTTGGCCCATTCCTCCATGCAGATCTCCTCTAGAGCAGTGATGTTTTGGGGCTGTCGCTGGGCAACACGGACTTTCAACTCCCTCCAAAGATATTCTATGGGGTTGAGATCTGGAGACTGGCTAGGCCACTCCAGGACCTTGAAATGCTTCTTACGAAGCCACTCCTTCGTTGCCCGGGCGGTGTGTTTGGGATCATTGTCATGCTGAAAGACCCAGCCACGTTTCATCTTCAATGCCCTTGCTGATGGAAGGAGGTTTTCACTCAAAATCTCACGAGACATGGCCCCATTCATTCTTTCCTTTACACGGATCAGTCGTCCTGGTCCCTTTGCTGAAAAACAACCCCAAAGCATGATGTTTCCACCCCCATGCTTCACAGTAGGTATGGTGTTCTTTGGATGCAACTCAGCATTCTTTGTCCTCCGAACACGACGTGTTGAGTTTTTACCAAAAAGTTATATTTTGGTTTCATCTGACCATATGACATTCTCCCAATCCTCTTCTGGATCATCCAAAAGCAAACTTCAGAAGGGCCTGGACATGTACTGGCTTAAGCAGGGGGACACGTCTGGCACTGCAGGATTTGTGTCCCTGGCGGCGTAGTGTGTTACTGATGGTAGGCTTTGTTACTTTGGTCCCAGCTCTCTGCAGGTCATTCACTAGGTCCCCCTGTGTGGTTCTGGGATTTTTGCTCACCGTTCTTGTGATCATTTTGACCCCACGGGGTGAGATCTTGTGTGGAGCCCCAGATCGAGGGAGATTATCAGTGGTCTTGTATGTCTTCCATTTCCTAATAATTGCTCCCACAGTTGATTTCTTCAAACCAAGCTGCTTACCTATTGCAGATTCAGTCTTCCCAGCCTGGTGCAGGTCTACAATTTTGTTTCTGGTGTCCTTTGACAGCTCTTTGGTCTTGACCATAGTGGAGTTTGGAGTGTGACTGTTTGAGGTTGTGGACAGGTGTCTTTTATACTGATAACAAGTTCAAACAGGTGCCATTAATACAGGTAACGAGTGGAGGACAGAGGAGCCTCTTAAAGAAGAAGTTACAGGTCTGTGAGAGCCAGAAATCTTGCTTTTTTGTAGGTGACCAAATACTTATTTTCCACCATAATTTGCAAATAAATTCATTAAAAATCCTACAATGTGATTTTCTGGATTTTTTTTCCTCAATTTGTCTGTCATAGTTGACGTGTACCTATGATGAAAATTACAGGCCTCTCTCATCTTTTTAAGTGGGAGAACTTGCACAATTGGTGGCTGACTAAATATTTTTTTCCCCCACTGTATGCACGCACCACATTTCCATTATTTATTTTTTAGATTTTTTTTAAACAAGTATTTTTTTGAATTTCACTTCACCAATTAGGACTATTTTGTGTATGTGCATTACATGAAATCCAAATAAAAATCAATTTAAAATACAGGTTGTAATGCAACAAAATAGGAAAAGCGCCAACAGGGATGAATAATTTTGCAAGGCATTGTAACATAGCTAAATATGTCACCGGTATGGGCCAGTAAATATCCTAAAGCTAGCCAGCTAGACAGTGATAGCCGCAGCTAAAACCAGGGAGAGAGGGAGGAGAGAATTAACTTTCTGTTTCATCTGCTGCTGGCTTGATAATGTTCACTCAAATACGTTTTTCCACATGTAATTGATGAAATTAGAATTTTATTCTATAAAGATTGTAATTGTGTCAATATGTTGTGACTAGTGTAGAAGAATCCTCACTGACATATTCCATACTTAAACGTGTTGCGCACCAGCTTATCATCTACGTTAGGCTCACCGTGTGAGTCATCAAAATTACGATCTTGCGTTCAAGCCTTTCCATGTGTTTACGTGTGGGGAGCATAAATTGTAAACTAACAAATATTTTTTCAAGTTGGAACCCATGTATATTAGGTAATATACAGCCTCAACTACATAAATGTCTGAAAGGATCCATTATATGCTACCTGGACTTTAAGAACCTGGTCTGAAACTAGGGTGTGACCAGAGCTGAACCACCCAAGGGAAGTGTGTGTGTGTGTGTGTGTGTGTGCGTGTGTGTGTGATTGTGTGATTGTGCGTACATGTGTGGGCCGCAGACATGCAATTATACATTTTACAGCTAATGAATGTTATAATAAGATAGACCATAATGCATTGCAGTCTACAGTAATATATTGTAAACTGAAAAAGCAGCACATTACAGTATGATTTAAAAAATTACATCAATTCGTTACAGTGTAACTAAAACGTCCAATTATTTATAGAACTGAGGTGACACTCCATTCAGGTGATCCTCAAGTTATCTCTGAACTTCCTGTGTGTGAGAAGAACCCGGCCACCCACACGCCCACACAAAGCCAGCCTACACCTGAAACAAGCCAGAAAGTGGTTTACTTGCTCAACTGAAATGCTGAAAATGTTAGTACATTTCTGAATTAGACCATCACAAGCATAGGTCATATTTTATTGTACAGTGCCTTGCAAAAGTATTTTCCTATTTTGTTGCATTACAACCTGTAAATTAAATGGATTTTTATTTGGATTTCATGTAATGGACATACACAAAATAGTCCAAATTGGTGAAGTGAAATGAAGAAAAAAATAACTTGTTTCAAAAAAGTATTACAAAAAAAAATTAAAAAGTGGTGTGTGCATATGTATTCACCCCCTTTGCTATGAAGCCCCTAAATAAGATCTGGTGCAACCAATTTTCTTCAGAAGTCACATAATTAGTTAAATAAAGTTCACCTGTGTGCAATCTAAGTGTCACATGATCTGTCACATGATCTTAGTATATATACACCTGTTCTGAAAGGCCCCAGAGTCTGCAACACCACTAAGCAAGGGGCACCACCAAGCAAGAGGCACCATGAAGACCAAGGAGCTCTCCAAACAGATCAGGGACAAAGTTGTGGAGAAGTAGAGATCAGGGTTGGGTTGTAAAAAAATATCAGAAACTTTGAACATCCCACGGAGCACCATTAAATCCATTATTAAAAAATTTAAAGAATATGGCACCACAACAAAACTGCCAAACTCACGGACCAGACAAGGGGGGCATTAATCAGAAGCAACAAAGAGACCAAAGATAACCCTGAAGGAGCTGCAAAGCTCCACAACGGAGATTGGAGCATCTGTCCATAGGACCACTTTAAGCCGTACACTCCACAGAGCTGGGCTTTACGGAAGAGTGGCCAGAAAAAAGCCATTGCTTAAAGAAAAAATAAGCAAACATGTTTAGTGTTCGCCAAAAGGCATGTGGGTGACTCCCCAAACATATGGAAGAAGGTACTCTGGTCAGATGAAGCATGGTGGTGGCAGCATCATGCTGTGGGGATGTTTGTCATCGGCAGGGACTGGGAAACTGGTCAGAATTGAAGGAATGACGGTGCTAAATACAGGGAAATTCTTGAGGGAAACCTGTTTCAGTCTTCCAGAGATTTGAGACTGGGACGGAGGTTCACCTTCCAGCAGGACAATGACCCTAAGCATAATGCTAAAGCAACACTCGAGTGGTTTAAGGGGAAACATTAAAATGTCTTGGAATGGCCTAGTCAAAGACCAGACCTCAATCCAATTGAGAATCTGTGGAATGACTTATAGATTGCTGTCCACCAGTGGAACACATCCAACTTGAAGGAGCTAGAGCAGTTTTGCCTTGGAAGAATGGGCAAAAATCCCAGTGGCTAGATGTGCCAAGGTTTTGGAGACATACCCCAAGAGACTTGCAGCTGTAATTGCTGCAAAAGGTGGATCTACAGAGTTTTGAGTTTGGGGGGGTGAATAGTTTGTTTGTTTCACAAGAAAAAATATTTTGCATCTTCAAAGTGGTAGGCATGTTGTGTAAATCAAATTATACAAACCCCCCAAAAAATCGATTTTAATTCCAGGTTATAAGGCAACAAAATAGGAAAAATGCCAAGGGGGGTGAATATTTTCGCAAGCCACTGTAAATGACACCTTATTTTAACTTTAGTTGCATGCAGTAGTCATGCTGAGAAGCCAGAAATTACACCTAAATGAGACAGAATTAAAATGTACAAAATTATTTTCCTGACGAAGCATGGCAAATTGCACCTTTTCCTCCCTACATAAATGCTGAAACATGACAAGCTGAAAATACAGTGCATTCGGAAAGTATTCAGACCGCTTGAATTTTTCCACATTTTGTTACATTACAGCCTTATTCTAAAATGGATTAAATAAAACATATTCCTCATCAATCTAAACAATACCCCATAAAGACACAGCGAAAACAGGTTTTTAGTATTTCTTTCAAATTTATGAAAAATTAAAAGCAGACATACCTTATTTACATAAGTATTCAGACCCTTTGCTATGAGACTCAAAATTCAGATCAGGGGCATCCTGTTTCCATTGATAATTCTTGAGATGTTTCTACAACTTGATTGGAGTCCACCTGTGGTAAATTCAATTGATTGGACATGATTTGGAAAGGCACACACAATGCATGTCATTGCAAAAACCAAGCCATGAGGTCGAAGGAATTGTCTGTACCGCTCCGAGACAGGAATGTGTCGAGGCACAGATCTGGGGAAGGGTACCAAAAAATGTCTGCAGCATTAAAGGTCCCCAAAAACAGAGTTGCCTCCATCATTCTTAAATGGAAGAAGTTTGGAACCAGCAAGACTCTTCCTAGAGCTGGCCTCCTGGCCAAACTGAGCAATCGGAGAAGAAGGGCCTTGGTCAGGGAGGTGACCAAGAACCCGATGGTCACTCTGATAGAGCTCCAGAGTTCATCTGTGGAGATGGGAGAACCTTCCAGAAGGACAACCATCTCTGCAGCACTCCACCAATCAGGCCTTCATGCTAGTGTGGCCAGAAGGAAGCCACTCCTCAATAAAAGCACATGACAGCCCACTTGGAGTTTGCCAAAAGGCACCTAAAGACTCTCCGACCATGAGAAACAAGATTCTCTGGTCTGATGAAACCAAGATTGAACTCTTTTGCCTGAATGCCAAGCGTCACGTCTGGAGGAAATGTGGCACCATCTCTACGGTGAAGCATGGATGTGGCAGCATCATGCTTTGGGGATGTTTTTCAGCGTCAGGGACTGGGAGAGTAGTCAGGATCGAGGGAAAGATGAACGGAGCAAAGTACAGAGAGATCCTTGATGAAAACCTGCTACAGAGCACTCAGGACCTCAGACTGGGGCGAAGGTTCCCGTTCTAACAGGACAATGACCCTAAGCACACAGCCAAGACAATGCAGGAGTGGCTTCGGGACAAGTCTCTGAATGTCCTTGAGTGGCCCAGCCAGAGCCCAGACTTGAACCCGATCTAACATCTCTGGAGAGACCTGAAAATAGCTGTGCAGCGACGCTCCCCATCCAACCTGACAGAGATTGAGCGGATCTGCAGAGAAGAATGTGAGAAACTCCCCAAATACAGGTGTGCCAAGCTTGTAGCGTCATACCCAATAAGACTTGAGGATGCAACAAAGTCAAGGGTCTGAATACTTATGTCTGTGATATTTCCGAGGGGGGGGGGGGTTAAATATAAATTTGCAAACATTTCTCAAAACCTGTTTTTGCTTTGTCATTAAGGGGTATTGTGTGTAGATTGATGAGGGGGGGGGGGGGGGGCAAAACAATGTAATCCATTTTAGAATAAGGCTGTAACGTAACAAAGTGGAAAAAGTCAAGGGGTCTGAATACTTTTCAAATGCACTGTATGTTTAAATATCATTGTGAGGTGTGAGGGTAATGATAATAAAGATGACAGAAACTAGATTTCTATGAATTGCCACCGTTAAAAGTCATGAACAGTCAAAACCATCGTTTTTTTTTTTGCTTGACATAGCCTGTCTTTTCAAACTTCCTGCTGGTAGTTAGCCATGAAAGAGAAATTGCTTTTCAGAATGACTGTTCAGGACCTTTAAACTATCATGCAATATGACACTGAGGATGGAATGTGTCACTAACTCATTCCTCATTCTCTGGAACATGTATGTAGCCAACTTTCTATTGCTCAATTGATCCAATGCACAGTTGAAGCTAGAAATCGTTTAGAAAATATACCACCAGCATCATTACAATAAATACAGTACACCCCTACCCTCTTCCTCCTCCTCCTTCCTCAATACTGCCCCTTTCCCTTCTCTCTCTCTCTCTCTCTCTCTCTCTTACCTCACGTCTCATACAATACCATGTTAATGTATCACTCAAAGGTATGTTCCTTTCATTTAACTGCCAGTTGAGTTGAGGTGGGGGTATATGCATGTCTACCCATGACAGACGTTTGGTTAAATTAATTCCCCATGTCTCTTAACTATCTGTTCTCGGTTTAAACATTAACTCTGCGCCATCCAATGGACGGAGTCCTGCGCACAGGTGCCGTAGGAGGATTTGTATCTCTCCATCATATCTGCTCCTGAGCAGAATGACTTGATGATGCGGCTATATACTCATTCACCGTGCAAAATAAAATAAGTATTAGTGTAAGCTACTGCATTAAGGGACATGCATAATAACGCATCTTGATTCGTTCTGATTAAATGAAACAAGCCGCGCAGATGTGGATCACCAAGACTCCAACTGTCCAATATCACACGTCACAAGTTTGACAGCTTTAGATCGTCAAATCAGATTGCGTGGAGAGAGGGGATAGGGCTCAGTCTTCACTGCTACTGCAAAATTAAGATTAGTTGTAGCCTACTTAATCACCTCCCCCAACCCACGCAGCAGTTCTCCATACAGGTTCGGAGCGTTCCCGGAGCCCCACACGCGCCCTACTCCGTGTGACCCTACCTTCACCATGGTGAGTGTCCTGGTCACATCATTTGACAGTTAAACATTCATGTATGTTTTGTTTGTCCATTTTCCTAATAATATGGACTTTTTAGTTGTGTTAATGTTCATCAGCGCATGGTGACCATGATGCGCGATTTTACGCACAGTGTTCCCCGGCAATTTGATGCATTTGCAGACTTGCATGTGACGAGTTTTATAAATACATTTGATTAAACGTTTTGTAAAACATAGCGTAGCCTACCTACAATGTTGACTGAAGTGCTGAGATTTTGTGAGCTGGAGCCATGATCGGGAATTTGCACAGTTTCGATAAGGCAGACGCAACAGGTAGATAGATGATGCTGATCGCTGTAACTCTCGAGGAACTTTATCCGTATCTCACATTACGGCGTGGAAAATTGTGGATTGCTTGTGGCGTTGATTTAATTATTCAGTTATATTTTATACACATCTGATAGTTGTTTATTCGATCTGACTGGAATTCACATCAAATAAGGATGTTGCATCTAAGCATGATTGAAGCCAATTTATTTAATAGTTCCATGTTAGAGAGTAAGAGAGACAGACAGAGTTCACAATGTATCACCATTTATCCCAATTAATCACATCTGTCTACATTAGGTGATGGATTATTGTCACAATTGATAATCATGAACATGTTATAATATACAATTAGGTCTTTTATTGATAAACTATCACTTCATTGATGAGGTATCCCTCGTGCCTATTTGTTTTACAGAGCACAGCCCTGACTTGTCAAGATCTGAGCTTTGTAGGGGGCCAACTCTACAACTGCCCTTACCCAGCCCCAACGTCCGCAGACAGTGTTGACGTTTCCACGGTGACTCTGGCCTCCTTTTGGGCCGCTGGTCCCCCGGACGACACAGCCTGCCAGCACGAGCCGACACAGCGGGGTAAGTCTGTTGAAATTAATTTTTACTTCGCAGTGATATGCCAGGTTCAGCGCGAGACTCCATGTGGCTGGCTCGTTTATCACTGAAAGTTTCCTAATTTGGATATCACATAATAGGATTGATTTAAAATCACATCCTAAGGTTTTTGACTCCGTTTTTTTTCTTCAAATCGTTTGTTTATTTTCTCTATACTGTACACATTACTTACTCATGTAGGCCTATCTATCACAGGCCTTTACTGCTGTTTGCCGCTATTATTGTTAAATTTCTGATATTTAGGGTAATGTCTTTGTCTTCTCTTCCACCTAGAACTCTACTCCTGCTTGGACTTTGGGACCTCTCGACCTGACCCCATCTGGACTGACCACCTGTCACCACATTTGCAGAGAAACAAGCAGGTAGCTATTTACACGAACAAAACTGGAGGGTTTCTTCCATCAGAATTTCAGGTGCTACCTGAAAGGGCGGCAGGTAGCTTAGTGGTTAAGAGCGTTGTACCAGTAACCGAAAGGTCGCTGGTTCTAATCCCCAAGCCGACTAGGTGAAAAATCTGCCGATGTGCCCTTGAGCAAGGCACTTAACCCTAATTGCTCCTGTAAATCGCTCTGGATAAGAGCGTCTGCTAAATGACCAATTTATTTAAATTCATTCAGAGCAGAAACTATCCACTCAATGATTCTATTAAAAGCTGTGGGTTGTGTGTGAAGTGTGCAGGGGCGTAGGAGCCAGAGGGACAGGGGGGACCCCAATGTTAGAAGCAGGTCAAATGTCCCCTCAATAATAAAATAAATAAATGACTTTTATTTTGAAAAAATGAGTCACCAGATTAATTGAGGAACTTTTATTTTGAAAAGGCCTCTGCTGCTGGAATGTGAGTCACTTCCCCCACCTCCACTGACTGCTTCATTCTCACTCTTGGTTGTTACAAGCAGTGTGGCAGTGTGTGAGTGAGATAAAAAGCACTGTGCAGCACCGCCATTATTACTCACCGCACTGGGGAAAGTAATTGTTGTTGGCAACAACAAAGTCCGTTTAAGTAAAGAGTGTATGAATGTGAATAAACTGTGATATGTTAGAACGAAAGTGAGCTTTCTCCTGGCTAGTAGCTAGTTAGCTTTACATTTACGGTTTTAGTCATTTTTAGTTGTGTCAGGTTTTATCTAACTAGCTAACGCTAGGTTTTATCTAACTAGCTAACTTCTGGCTGTGTAAAAAACTGATAGTGAATGTTTTGAAGCCAATAATACTTGCTAGCTACAGAGTTACTTGCACAATCACTGGCATAGGGTCAGCAAATTAGCAATGGATGTGCCACCAGTCAAGAAGATTTAAAAAAAGAGGACATAAGAGTTTTTTTCAAAGGAGTGCATAGGACTTGGAAACTGCCAGTACACCACCCCTGGCAAATTTGCTTGCACATTTTAGTGATTTCATCTTAGATGTCTTTGACTTCATCACATGATTATGGGTCATGAAGGTGTGTTCCATGTGTTAAGACTTTGGTGCTATCATAATCATGGCAGGAGCGTAACAGCCATGAACAGACAGACAGGCAGAGAGAGTGAGAGAGAGGCCAAAAGCAACAGGTAATACAGTGAGAAGTGCCTCTCCAAGCTCATAGAGTTCATAGACGGATGATATGTCATAGTGTGAATCAATCTGAATGATCATATATGATCTCTGATGAAATGATAGCAGTTTAAGTCAAGAGGATTTATTGCATGTGTTAACTTCATGCAGGAGAGAGGCAGCCATGATTATATTTCATTTTTGGTCATTGTGTAGAGTTGATTAATTTCAGTTTGACCAATTTTTTTATTTATTAAAACAGTTTTTAACTTTGTATGTTACTGGTTATTATTACAGTATAATAACTGTATTATACGTTGAAAATATTACCATACAGTATGTATAGCACTATTAGTAACAACCTGACATAGGGGAACTGAGAAAAATACTAGGAAATTAATCATAATGCAGTAGAGAAAGAGTACAAAATGGTTGTTTAATTTAATATATCCACATTAACAGTCACACAGTATGAATGGCCATGGCCCTACGACTGATTGACTGTACCAGAGTAAGTGCCCCTCTGCAAGCCCCCCCTTAGCCTTGTAAATGTGCCCATTTGTAAGTTAAGATTAGTCTCTATCCCCCCCAGAATCGTAGCAAACACAAGGTGCAAGTTCGAAATGTGGTTGTGCATCAGCATATTTTTTTTTTGTCTTATGTCTCTTGTTGGGAAGTTAGTCTAGCCAGCTGTCTAAATGTGTAGTTGACCGACCTCCAGGGGGCCCCCATTGATTTTGCTAGTCAATCTCACTCAAATTTCATTAACATGGCATAAGTCATGGCAAAATGTGCAGAATTGCAGAAAATTAGCTTTAAAACTGCACATATTTTCTCTCCACCCCATGGCAAAATGGGTAGAATTGCAGGAAATGTACTTTAAAACTGATTTTTTTTCTCTCTCTGCTGTCAAGAGTGGAGCCACTAAAATGGATTTTTCATCTTCTGTTTTTCTTCTTCTTTTTCTTCTTCAAATGAGTAAATAAAATAATGAATATATCATTTGTACTGTAGATACTTACAAATGTTTCTTTCATTTTCCTAAGCTTCAAGACACGTTGATACAAAGAGAGGGGGAACTGGCAAGACTGCATGAGGAAAATAACAAACTCAAAGAATTCTTAAACTCCTCATTTGTGAAAACGTTGGAGGAAAAAACTAAGGTAATTACTTCATAATCAAAGATCATTCATGGCTGATTGGTTGATTAATTTCAGCTGAGTTTATCTCTAGTTATCTCTAAAGTCTATCTCTAAATGTAGCATAATAAGTGTGCCCTTTGGAAAGCCTAGTTTTCCCAGTTTACAGAGGTGTAGTTTCTCTCAAACAGCCTCCTCACTTGTGTTCATCCTTTTCCATAGAGACTTCTCTCTGCTCAGAGTGGCGATAGGAGGAGGAACCGGAAGCGGAATTCCAAAATCCAGAATCTGCATGGTGTTGGAGAATTCCGGAACCTCAGTGCCAGTCAGCTTCTCCTTGGTTCTCAGGTGAAACGGACCTGCCGGAACTTGTCCCTGCAGTTCTGTTCCGAAGAGGAGCTAGCCAGCACCCCACCTGTGGACCTGTGGATCCTGCAGACCTTGGGCCTGAAGGACGAGGACACCATCGATACAACATCCACTGAATACAGCTTCAATTCCTCCATTGACTCCCTCACCAAATGCAGCTCCAACACAGACTCCTCTGGTGACTACTGCCAAACAACCAATCATAAAACCATCGCTTATGACACACCTACTGATGGCCCTGGCCATGGTGCCAGAATAGGACAATACACTGATTACTGCTTTAACACCAACATTGACTATAGTGTCTCTACAGACTCCGGCTCTAACTTCACTGGAACTGTGCCCTCCATCCAATACAACCCTAGCATAGAAGTCACCCCCAATTTCCAGGCCACCCCGTATGAACCCCCACTGGCCCAATTGGTCAACACTCTCTCGTCAACTGACCCAATACAGCCATTCAGGCCCATCTTAGCCTCCTCTACCTATCTGTCTCAGGACAGGAGTCCCGGGCTGCACCACACTCCCAGCCCGCAGTGCCGCAGCCCCTCCAGTCCTGTAGGGGGTGATGTGACGACTCAGTACCCTGAACTGTCTACCCCACGTAGCCGGACAGAGCTAGCTTTCAGCATGTCCCTAAACCCTTCCAGCAGCGTCAGACTCAAGACACACAGCTTTCCTCAGGGACAGGCCTTCGTCCGCAAGGACACCCATGGAGGCTGGAACTTCACCTGGGTCCCCAAACAAGGCCCATAAGCCTAATTTATATCTTACGGACAGACGCAAGAAATACAATAAGCTATGCAAAATGGTGACCCTGCGTAGGTGCAAAGCAAGAATAAGCAAACGTGTGCAGCCCCGTGATTTGTAACTAGATGCAAATACGCAGGATCGCCATTTTGCGTAGGTAACTGTGTTTGTGCATAGGCCTGAATGAAAAGCATCGTCGGTAGCTAGCTCCTAGTCCAGAGGACGATGGATAACTTGCTGTTCTAAAAGAGAGAATAACTGCCACAGAGACAATTGCCCTTGCTGCTGTAAAACACTGTTAACCACAGAAAAGTAAAACACTGCCCAGTACCCTTCAGCTGCAGACACAGAACTGGAAAAACAGCCTTAAAGTAGCAGTGCAGTTTGGCAAAGAGGAAATAGTGCTGGTGATCCAATACAAGGCTTACTGCTCCAGACCCCTGATAGGTCACACTGCCTAGTGCCCTAAGCCTTGAGCAATTTGAAAACTTCACCTGTACTGTAGAAGAACAACACAAATGTACAGATAAGGCAGGTAAACAGGTTGTAAAATGTAGCCTGTGGAAGTTGATCAAATGTACCTCTAAGCTATAACAATGTTATTAATGAGACATAAGCTGCCTAACATAAGTGCCAGACAGAAGTCTACTGGTTTAATTTTAATGTGTAAATAATCCTACTACATATTAACCCTACTTTGAGTGTCAATGATGATATAGGGACCAGAGTTTTTCTTAGACAGTTCAAATGGTCAGGAAAAACTTATTCTACAAGCCTTATACAGACCAAAAACAGAGCCTGTCATCCAATCAGGGCTCAATCAAACCTGGCACAGTACCTGACCAGTACCCAAGGAAAAGCTCCCTAGATATACACCATAGATACACTACAGTGCCTTGCAAAAGTATTCATCCCCCTTGGCATTTTTAATATTTTGTTGCATTACAACCTTTAATTAAAATGGATTTTTATTTGGATTTCATGTAATGGACATACACAAAATAGTCCAAATTCTGAAATGAAAAAAAATACTTATTTCAATAAATTCAAAAAAATAAATAACGGAAAAGTGGTGCGTGCATATGTATTCACCCCCTTTGCTAGGAAGCCCCTAAATAAGATCTGGGCAAACCAATTACCTTCAGAAGTCACATAATTAGTTAAATAAAGTCCACCTGTGTGCAATCTAAGTGTCACATGATCTGTCACATGATCTCAGTATATATACACCTGTTCTGAAAGGCCCCAGAGTCTGCAACACCACTAAGCAAGGGGCACCACTAAGCAAGTGGCACCATGAAGACCAAGGAGCTCTCCAAACAGGTCAAGGACAAAGTTGTGGAGAAGTACAGATAAGGGTTGGGTTATAAAAAAATATCAGAAACTTTGAACATCCCACGGAGCACCATTAAATCCATTATTAAAAAATGTAAAGAATATGGCACCACAACAAACCTGCCAAGAGAGGGCCACCGACCAAAACTCATGGACCAAGCAAGGAGGGCATTAATCAGAGAGGCAACAAAGAGACCAAAGATAACCCTGAAGGAGCTGCAAAGCTCCACAGCGGAGATTGGAGTATCTGTCCATAGGACCACTTTAAGCCGTACTCTCCACAGAGCTGGGCTTTACGGAAGAGTGCCCAGAAAAAAGCCATTGCTTAAAGAAAAAAATATGCAAACCAGTTTGATGTTCACCAAAAGCCATGTGGGAGACTCCCCAAACATATGGAAGAAGGTACTCTGGTCAGATGAGACTAAAATTGAGCTTTTTGGGCATCAAGGAAAACGCTATGTCTGGCGCAAACCCAACACCTCTCATTACCCCGAGAATACCATCATAATGTGGGGATGTTTTTCATTGGCAGGGACTGGGAAACTGGTCAGAATTGAAGGAATGATGGATGGTGCTAAATACAGGGACATTCTTGAGGGAAACCTGTTTCAGTCTTCCAGAGATTTGAGACTGGGACGGAGGTTCACCTTCCAGCAGGACAATGACCCTAAGCATACTGCTAAAGCAACACTCGAGTGGTTTAAGGGGAAATATTTAAATGTCTTGGAATGGCCTAGTCAAAGCCCAGACCTCAATCCAATTGAGAATCTGTGGTATGACTTAAAGATTGCTGTCCACCAGCGGAACCCATCCAACTTGAAGGAGCTGGAGAAGTTTTGCCTTGAAGAATGGGCAAAAATCCCAGTGGCTAGATGTGCCAAGCTTATAGAGACATACCCCAAGAGACTTGCAGCTGTAATTGCTACAAAAGGTGGCTCTACAAAGTCTTGACTTTGGGGGGGTGAATAGTAATGCATGCTCAAGTTCTATTTTTTTATTTTCTTATTTCTTGTTTGTTTCACAACAAAACTAAATTTGCATCTTCAAGGTGGTAGGCATGTTGTGGAAATCAAATTATACAAACCCCCCAAAAATCGATTTTAATTCCAGGTTGTAAGGCAACAAAATAGGAAAAATGCAAGCCACTGTACATGACCAAAAGTATGTGGACACCTGCTCGTCGAACATTTCCTTCCAAAATCATGGGCATTAATATGGAGTTGATCCCCCTTTTGCGGCTATAACATCCTCCACTCTTCTGGGAAGGCTTTCCACTAGATGTTGGAACATTGCTGCAGGGACTTGCTTCCGTTCAGCCCAAAAGCATTAGTGAGGTCGGGCACTGATGTTGGGCGATTAGGCATGGCTCGCAGTCGGCGTTCCAATTCATCCCAAAGGTGTTCGATGGGGTTGAGGTCAGGGCTTTGGGCAGGCCGTCAAGTTCTTCCACACCAATCTCAACAAACCATTTCTGTATGGCCCTCGCTTTGTGCACTGGGACACTGTCATGCTTAAACAGGAAATAGCCTTCCCCAAACTGTTGCCACAAAATTGGAAGCACAGAATCGTCTAGAATGTCATTGTATGCTGTAGCGTTAAGATTTCCCTTCAATGGAACTAAGGGTCCTAGCCCGAACCATGAAAAACAGCCCCAGACTATTATTCCTCCTCCACTGAACTTTACATTTGGCACTGATTCATCCATCGGACTGCCAGATGGTGAAGCATGATTCATCACTCCAAAGAACGCGTTTCCACTGCTCCAGAGTTCAATGGCGGCAAGCTTTACACCACTCCAGCCGTGTCTTGGCATTGCACATGGTGAGCTTAGGCTTGTGTGCGGCTGTTTGGCCATGGAAACCCATTTCATGAAGCTCCTGACGAACAGTTATTGTGCTAATGTTGCTTCCAGAGGCAGTTTGGAACTTGGTAGTGAGTGTTGGAACCGCGCTTCAGCACTCGGCAGTCTCGTTTTGTGAGCTTGTGTGGCCTACCACTTCGCGGCAGAGTCGTTGTTACTCCTAGACGTTTCCACTTCACAATAACAGCACTTACAGTTGAACGGGGCAGATCTAACAGGGCAGAAATTTGACGAGCTGACTTGTTGGAAAGGTGGCATCCTATGACAGTGCCACGTTGAAAGTCACTGAGCTCTTCAGTAAGGCCATTCTACTGCCAATGTGTGTCTACGGAGATTGCATGGCTGTGTGCTCGATTTTATACACCTGTCAGCAACGGGTGTGGCTGAAATAGCCGAATCCACTAATTTGAAGGGGTGTCCACATATTTTTTGTATATATTGTGTATCTATACTGTATTTCTAGGGAGTTTTTCCTGGTGTGAGAAAAAAAACCTGGTCCTACTGAAAGCTACAAATACAGAGCATTTTACACACTGCCAACAAAAACTAGAGTAAAATGTGCCCTTCCAGTCACTACAAACCACTGCAATACACTGTCCCTTGATTTTAGATGTGAAACTGTACACAATGTGATTTCATGATTTTGTAAGTTGACCTGAGTTTGTGATCAAAAAAAGAAATACTGATTAGCAATTTTCTCTGTGAATTTTGTTCCAAATACTGTGACATAATCCATTTTAAAGCCAGTTCTATCACATTTCACACTTTTTTTGTCTCCCCTTATTATCCCATGATGGTGTTAGATTTAGTCACTGTCCCAGAGTGGTCTTCACAGGACCAGTAGAATCTGCATCTTTTCATTGCTCTACCACTTTACACATTTTTTGTGGATATGATTCCTGTTCTCTCTTTAACCTTTTTTCATATGTCTCAATGGCTAATTGTCATGTCTTGTAGGCAGTAGGTTTGTTTGAACTGCATCAACGCTGAACAAACTGAGTAAAAATGTTGTCCTAAGACTAGTTTGAGAACCAATAGATTGCCCCAAGACTAGTCATCTGAAACTCTATGGCATAAGGGTGGAACAAAGTCCTTGGACTTGAGATTTATATATCGTCGCACCAAGCCAACCGTTTTTTTGTAAAGGAGTGGGGCAGTCTCACTCACACATTTTTTGTTTATTGGATAGAACAGACATATAGAGGAACAATAGAGCAGAGATTGTGCTGAAATAGCAGTGGGCATGATTCAAACCCATGCTGCAGTGGTGTATCTGATCAGAAGGAGTCGGCATAGACAGCTAGACCACCCTAGGCCACACCCAGCCAACCTTGTTACAGGGATGACCTGCCATGCTACATTAACTAAGCTCACTACGGCACTTGTCTCTCCACACTTTCCAGGAGCTTTTTGTTCCCCTTTACTAAAAAAACAAAAGACGACCAGCAGCTCCCGGGAGAGATACCCACCCTGATCCGCCCACCAAGGTAACGATGGGCCGCATCCCATGGGGGGGAAAAAGACGGGATACTCCCCCGCTCTTGGGCTCCCCTGAGAGCTTACGGAGGGAAAGTTCAGTCTCAGAGTTAGCCATGGTGAGCGAGTGGTCTATCCTTAATGACAAGGTAAAGCCTCTACAGATGTCCACCAGATTGGGTTGGTAAGATGTATGAAAGGTAGACAGACCCTGAGACAGGAGGCTTGGCTGTTGAACCCACGGTCGGTCCTCTATTTCCTGGCTAAGTGTTGGGGAGGCAAAGGGGTCATTAAGTGGGCCTACCCTGCTGAAACTCAATATGGCCCGAGTGTT